TTATTTATTTATTTAATTGATGACCGATTGATGAATGGACGGATTGATTGGTTGGTCGGTTGGTTGGTTGATAGATCTTAACTCTTGCTGTGCCTATATTACAGGTGACAAACAATATACAGTGTAGGTTAAACATGTACCGTATTTGCCGGCGATAAGGCCGCAGCAGCGCCGCACCCCCAACTTTGACATTTCGTAGAGGAAAAAAAAAACAACAGACAGCCCATTTATATTTCACACTAGTGGAGGGTTGCGGTTCTAACAGATAATTCCTACACTCTTAAAACTAAAATGTTAAATCACCATTTAAAAGGGCCGAGGAGTGACAACTATTTCAAAATGGTAGATTAACACTTTTAACATGCTGGATCCAACCTTTATAGCGTTGGATCCAGCATATTCAAAGTGTTAATCTACCATTTTGAAAGAGTTGTCACTCCTCGGCCCTTTTAAATGGTGATTTAACATTTCAGTTTTAAGAGTGTAGCACTCTTAACACAGAGGCAGCCCAGCAGACATGTTGTAGGATTGATAACTACTAGGTAACTGACCAGGTTTTAATGTGTAAAAGCATTTCAACATTCTATGTAGCATTCCACATACATTCCATGCAAAGTAGAATAAATCAATAAATATTCATATAGTCCCATACAAGTATAAATCAACATCACAAAGTATTCTTGAAGATTCAAACATAAACAAAGGGTATATATTGAATATTCATAGTATATGTAAATTATACTACATAAGCTTGACTGCATCAGGTGAACATTGAAACCAATGAGAGAGAGAGATAGACAGATGAAAGGATGGTGGATGAAAAGGGTGAATATGAATGAGGGATGACCTATTAATATGAAAGGGATGAATCATGGATATGAAGGGGAATTTCAGAAGTTCAAAATAAATCCATACACTAGTTTATACATTTTGTATGTATGCATACATTTGTGGAAGATACTACATGTATATGTTTAGGATCATCAAATAAGGTATTACTGGTAATGCCCTTTTCTTTTTATACATGTATGTACTTTCTACACAGATTAGTTACGTGTACTGAGTGCCCTTTTTGAAAGGTATTTTTAAATGAAAATCCATATTTCCCATAAATTTTTAGAAAAACATTTTAATTTGCTTGATTTTATCAACTTTATATACCTGTATCATACCCGTGTCATGTACATGTACACTGGGTATTGCTTTTTAAGTGGGTGATTTTGAGCTTTTGTAACCTACCAAATAGTTTAGATTGACCATACAATCTTTGGTTATATGACATAATTTGGAACAACCTCTGTAAAAATGAAAACGTGATGATTTGCAAACACACAGCAATGTAAATAGCAAAAGGAGAGGTTGAACAATTGAAATTTGTTATTCTTACATCTATCTTTGCCCCTCATTTGAACTAGTTAAAGTATGAAAATGTCTGTTAACAGTTTAATGTAACATCCGAAACGTGCTACAGCATAACAGAAAGTGCTGTTAAAATGGCTGAATAATGTTTATGAGTCACTTTTATTGAGATTGTTTCTGATAAATTACAATTAAGGATATACTAAAGCAGCCAGGAATGCCTTGCACCACAAAGTGTGGCTTCAATATTTATGTTTTATAAGTCAATTTTGCAGAAAATTTAGATATTTTACGGAAAATTTGATTTTTTTTGCATCATATTTCTTCATATTTTTATATTTAGATCTAAATGAAATTATCAATATAGGGTTTTTAACAGGAGTGTGCATTGTGAAATCGTAACTTGCACATATGATAGAAAATTAGTTGAAAAACTATGTGTTAACAATCAAATAGTGTAACGTCCGAAACACCCTTCTTGAGTTTACACAAAATTATTGGATTTGAAATACCTGATTTGTGTTTTGACTTGTGTTAAGACTTATAATAACTTATTTCATAATTATTTATTCACTCCAGATACCCTCAAATGTGGATTATCATCATTTATTTGGTATTTTTTGTTTCGGACGTTACATTTGTTTCGGACGTTACAACTGTTAACGGAAAATTGGTTTTAACTATAAAATAGTATTGTAATGATGTATTGCAAATTTCTTTTTTTGGTGGGTAGCCGCCATGAAATGTTTAAAAAATGTTACGAAAGATAGGTCCTGCAGTTCATATATTTTCTGCTACTTCAAATTGAAAGTTGTTTCGGACGTTACAAAATTGTTTACGGAAAATGAGACAACTTTTTCAAATTTTGAATAGATTTATAATATAAGCGCTACTACAATTAAATTATATTTTCTTTTAATTTAATGACTTGGGTAACTAATAAGCTTATTCAAACCATAAACAATCTCATTAAATGATTGTTCTAGTGGGTTAAATGAGGGCCTACATTGTTTACGGAAAATGTAACGTCCGAAACACAATTTTCAATTGTACTGTTCTATCAAAATACAGGAGTTAATTCATATTACTGTTAACTTTCTTTAAGATCCACCCATGCTCATTAATCATCAACGAAAAAAAAAACATATTGCTTGTGGATATATATTTTTGTCGGCTCCAACCAAAAAGGTATGTCAATTTTGTTACAAAATTCCGTAAACAATTGGCTGTTCAGGGATATCTCATGCACATAAAGCAACGCTAAAATTTTTTCGTTAAGCTATGGGAGGTTAACCTAGGTCCATGTTACAAGAAAAAGTTGTAACTGATTTCTAATTCTCTATCTTTGTAAAGTTTCAGGCTGTCAAAGGGTCATTAAGCTATTTGGTCATAGTTTTTAAAAAAAAAACAGTGCCTTAAACGATGCCTTTAAACGCGTGAGCGCGTTGCATAGCATTGTTGTGCAGTAACCGTATTCCTATGTCGCTTTTGCATTTTACGACAAGTCTTTCCATTGAAGTCATAATTCTAACTCATATTTTCTTGGTGACATCACCACTGAACATTTTAAATTGATATCGCATTCGTAAAATGTCGTGAATGACTTTGAAATATATATCTTAAAGATACAAAAAAACAAAAGGCAGTATTCCGAGAAGTTTTTGATGCAAAGAAAATTACTTACTTGTTACTATCTTCAATTTATTCATATTTAGATCTGTGGCGTGGGCAATTTACTTTAGGGGAAACGACCGAATATTGATTTTGATGCCCAGACCTGTGCATACATTTTTTTTCCGGATGGAAAATTATCTTGTGTGGAATAGGGAATAGCACTACCTATGTTATTTTCCCATGGCGTTATGGTTGACAGTGAGAAGGAAACAGATCACAAGCGGATAATAATTAAAGCTTCTTCTTTTGCTTTCCCTTTGTCCGTCTCTTTCCCATTTCTTGCTTTTGTCTCTGTTCCTGGCTATTCTGCAAACAAAGACTCTAGTGACACTCTACCACAATTCCAGAAGCCTTGATCAGAGCCTAGATCCACCAGTTTCTGTCTGTAATTAGCAGCTTAATTACAGAGTCTATTGTGGTCACACTTTACCACAATTCCAGAAGCCTTGATCAGAGCCTAGATCCACCAGTTTCTGTCTGCAATTAGCAGCTTAATTACAAAGTCTATTGTGGTCACAGTTTGCAGACGCTGACAAGAGTTTCAGTTTCAGTTTCAGTTTATTGTTTACAATATTTCACATTATACATATAATTATTACATTATAATACATGTTTGTAATTCATAATCACAAACACGGAAATTAGATACATGTTGCAAATTTAGTTTTTAATCGAGTTATTTAGCAGCTTTTACAAGAAGACGAATATATATATTTATTTGATAGTGAAATATGACGAAACTTGGTAAAAACAAAGCTTGTAAAGTAACGGTTCCGTACAAAATATGCTAAAGAAGGTTGTTGATATATGTGACACGGTTCGATGAGACAGATATTTAAAAAGAATATTAATGTATTATAAACATATTGTAGGCCGAAGTTTTAAAAACTAAGGAAATTATATATTCAAATTATGAGAAATATATTTTTTTAAATACATATATAATCCTAGAAAGCACGAGACAAAATCTTAAAATAAACATACAGAAGCCATAACATATGCATGGGGGATTTCATTAAATTTCATTTACATAATATCAATTTACATATACACGTACCGTCTCTTTAGATTCTTAAAGACTAAAGTATTTTTTTGTCTGACTCTCTTACTCTCTATATTTCTCTTTTTACCTATCTCAATTCCTACTATAACCATCCCTGTACATATCTATCTATAAATCAATCTATCAATCTATATATCCATTTCATTTCCTCATTCTCTTTCTCTCTCTTGGCTCCAAAAGTGTTTTTTCTATTACCCTAATATTTCCCACAACAGATAAAAGTTTCCAGAATGCCATTAAATAAATTGTAATTTCGTAAGATCTTGATTATTACAATGTTTTAATTTCTGTTTTTATCTTTTGTTATTGATAGTGGCAGCAGTGATGTGCTTCTCTGAAGTATGTTATGCAAAGAAAACAACTACCACTGGACCTACAACAACGGCTGAAGCTACAAATAATGGACCTACAAGCAACATGACAACCACTGCGAGCAACATGACAACCACTGAACCTACCACTGCAAGTAACATGACAACCACGTTCAGCAACATGACGACCACGGTCAGCGACATGACAACCACTGCGAGCAACATGACAACCACTGAACCTACCATTACAAGCGACATGACAACCAGTGAAGCTACCACTGCAAGCGACATGACAACCACTACAAGCAACATGACAACCACTGGACCTACCACAACCACCGCAAGCAGCATGACAACCACCGCGAGCAACATGACAACCACTGCGAGCAAAATGACAACCACTGAACCTACCACTGCGAGCAACATGACAACCACTGAACATACCACTGCAAGCGACATGACAACCACTGCGAGCATCATGACAACCACTGAACCTACCACTGCGAGCAACATTACAACCAGTGAACCTACCAGTGCAAGCGACATGACAACCAGTGAACCTACCACTGCAAGCGACATGACAACTACTGCGAGCAACATGACAACCACTGAACCTACCACTGCGAGCAACATGACAACCAGTGAACCTACCACTGCAAGCGACATGACAACCAGTGAACCTACCACTGCAAGCGACATGACAACCACTGCAAGCGACATGACAACCACGGTCAGCAACATGACTACCACGAGTGGAACGACAAGCACCACCCCGTCAGGTAATTGTAGGCAATATTCACATTAAAGCCAGTGGGCCGTTAGTTTCCATGTGCGGAAGATCATAATTTGGCAATAATTTGGAAATACCATTAATGGGTGTACAATTTTCCAGACAGCAAACCCGTAAGCTAATCGAGAAGTGCCCCTCGTCTTTTGGGGGAGTCTTCTGGTGATCAATTCAAATAGATGAGGATTTTACCATATGTGGGAAAAGGCAGAGCATTGTTATAAAGCCCGTTGGTCAAAAAAATGAAAGATTATTCTTATGATTGGTACCTGTTATTGGATAAACTCTCGAACGGTGTCAAATTCCCCAATTCCCAACGATTTCAATGAGTCTTGAAAGATACTATGTTTGCAGCCAACATCAAATTCTGTACAACTTTGCAGGAATTATGAAAATGTAATGTATGTCCTATCTGTGGAATTTAAACGTAAGCAGTGTCCTTATATTCAAATTATGCAAGGAAACCCGTTTACTTGCTAGACTTCACTGTCAGGCACTATTGAGTGACTGACTGGCCAAAATTAAACTGATTGAATCTTTGTGCAGCACAAAACGTACGACCATTCGGTAAAGTGGTCTGAAAATCAGACTATTACTTACTGACTTGGGAGCACTTGATTCGATTTGACAACTAATTGTCGTCGTTTTCCCACTTAAAGACATTTTCAAGACCCCTTTTTTAGGGAAGTTCAAAATTATTATTATCTTTCAAATGCCGTTGAAATTTAACCGTTTCATTTTTTGGGCCTGCAAATGGGACATGGTACCTTTAAAGTCTGGTTGTTGGTATGAATTGCAAATGTTTCCCCCTTTTTTAAAGTCGTTGTAAGGTAACGGGATAAAAATTACCTGAAAACATGTTTTGTGTATAGCTAGAATGTATAATTACATCAAACCCCTAAACTTTACCTGATATTCAAAGGAGCAATGAAGGAAATAAAAACGAGGACTCGGGTTCAGTGCCAGCGCGTTATGGTCCTTTGACTAGTCTGCACATAAGACCCATTATTTGCTGAAGATGTGTTTAAACTTGCTTTAATTATCTCTTCGAAGAAGAAATATTTGAGATTCATATTTTGAATATATCATAGCGACTAGGAACCCCTTTAATACATATGTTTGTTGTTGATGTGGTAATTGTTGTTGTTGTAGTTTTTTATGTTGGTTTTGTTTATAGATGCCCTTTAAGCTTAACTTTAAAGTTTCCATTTATATTAGGGACATATAGGATTTTCGTCCGATTCATCGTCAAGTTTGCTCAAACGTGCGGTTCACTATATGTGTGCGTGTGTGTGTATCGCGTGCCATGTTTCTTATCAACCATTATAAACAGTTTTCTCAAATTGAGTTAAGAATAAAAGGAATACCCAACGTATATCTTTTGATGTATACTCTAGCTTCACGATGAATCAATATTGTAAAACCAAATAGTATGCCATGTGATATAAATGTGATATTCATGTTATAACGCTGATTTTAAAAAAATGCATATTAACCCAAGAATTTGAAGAGAAGCGACCGGAACAAGAATAATTCTGGCAGCGTACTAATATTTCAGTATATATTACTGCAAACAAATTCTTAACCTTATGATTTCAACTTCCATGTGTGCAGTAGAAAAAATCATAACGACGTTACATGGACATCATCATGCCCTTTATCCCAACAAAAAGTCCTGAAATGACCCTTTAATTTTCATAGTGAAATCAAGAGGAACAACATCAGCCCCAAAAGCCCGATGGGAAGTGAAGGACAAGGACGGCAAACTGTGTATGCTCATGGACTTCAATGGAACTATAACTGACGTAGGTTTGATATATCACTTATCTTTTCTTATAATTTTAGCAAGTTTATCTATATCATAAACATCATATCAACACTGCTTTGATAATTGGTGAAAATGTTGTAGTGTTTGACGTACATCAAACACCAGTGGCGTAACTGGGGGAGCGGCCGGGGCACAAGACTACGAATAAAATGGCAAAAAAGGGAAACAAAAACTTTAAAAAATTAATGGCAACGGAACACCAGGATCTTGTGCTCTCAGATGTAAATTTCCGAAAGTGTTTTTATTTACTTAAAAGAACTGAATGGTAAATTGTACTAAACTCCAACACTAGAAGTCGTTCATGCTCAATACACTGTCTGCTATAGCATGAGCACCATGACAAGTAAACTTGGAGCAATAAAGAACCCCATTTTATAGCCTTCGTACCGTACCCCTATAGCTGTTTGTGTCTGGACAAATAGCTGGATTTTTATGTTTTTCCTTGCTTCTTACACATTTATCTGTGTAGGCTATATAATATATATCAATCAAACAGTTTATACCATTGTTGGTAGTTTTGAACATTCGATATAAATATTAATTGACATGTTTCCGAAGGTAAAGTATAGTTTTTTAACAAAGGCTTCTGTTGATGATTTTAAAAAGCTTGCCAGTGGTTTGTCTGACGTAGCAACAAAATGAATGGCATCCATAGATATGCCATTATGCATAGGAGGTGAATCACTTGGGTAGGCCCTAGAGAAATATACATAGGCCTACATTGGTAAATAGGCTGAGTGTATTCTCAGCCTCAACCACAATTAAAGTTTTCCTGCGAAAAAGAATACCATATGATTATAACAACCTTGTCACAATCTTAATGGACATTAATTTACTTGCAGCTCGCTAATGACGTGACTGAACAGATACCACCTTATGCGTCGACATCGAAATCCAACTGCAGCTCATCTTCTTATTCAGCATTTGTCTTAAAGTTTGGGAAGTGGGGAATTGTCCTGAACTTCACCACTAGAGGGGGCTCGTTCAAGCTCCAAACAATATCTGCGCGCACAAGCATCTCAACAAGTAAGTTGATAGGGCCAATAATTATCATTGGTTCGATTTGATTTGATCAACTAAATCTTGCCAAAAATATACACAAAATAGAAATACAATATGCATTAAATGTATTTTGATAACATAAAGAAACAAACAAACAAAACAAAGGCACAATGCTACACTGTAAAAAAAAAAAAAAGTAACGCGTAAACACAAGTACGTACAACTTGCTAGGCCGTCTTTTTCCAAATGTATTAATTTATTGAATTTTCTCTATAGAAAAAAAGAAGAATATAGGGTCTAAAAAGGAAATAAGCAGAAGGAAAGGGGATGGAAAGAGAAAGAATCCTTAAAAATAGTCATTTATGACATGAAATTGTATATATATATATAAATAATTCATAAAATAGTGTGAGGCAAAAATAGTCAACTGTGACTGATTGCCAAACAAAATCAAATCAAGAAGAAGAAGTTAATTGCTCTATTTTTTTCCCCAGCGTCACGTTTCTCATCCGTGACCACAGACTTCTTTGATGTGCCTCTTGGCGACTATTACACCTGCAGTCACTTCAGCTACAGTCTTGGTTCCTTTCATCTCAACCTGACCAACCCTTCGCTCCAGCCTTTCGTCCAGAGAACCGAAGGAGGGGACAACTTGGGACAACGTAAGGGAGTAATCATTTTATTTTTCCGACACACAGATAATTAAGCCCGAATTTCTATGGGTTGATTACAGATTAAGAAGTTAGAAGAAAATAAACATGATATAGAATATCATAAAACCGTCTTAAAAATAATATTTCCACCTGTGTTCCATAGAATGAACCGTCGGTGCATAATTAAAAGAATAATGATTACGCATTGTGTATGCATTGTTATTTTTATCTCAATCTCTCACCAGCATATGTTTGTCGAAACAGTCACACCGGTATCATCGTCGGGGTCGTCATCGCGGTCATCGTGATCATAGCAGTCATCGTGGTGACGTTCTGCGTGGTGAAACGGCGAAGAAACACGTCTTCTCCTCCCTATGCTCGGGTTTAGTCAGGGGTGTGCATGATGAATCATTGGCCCTGCGTTTCATACTTCCATAATAATCGTATAAAAGATAATCATGTAACTTATTGTAAGACTAGTATTTGTCTTTTTCTAGTCTTTAACATTGTATGATTTAGAAACGTTACATACACACACATATATTATAGATAGATAGATAGATGTTTGGTTGTTGGTGACTCTGTACGTGACGCATCCCGCGAGACCCCCTCCCACTTGCTCTGCCATGTCCACTATCTTCAATAAACTACTAAATCAATCAATTAATTAATAAGTACTAGAAATCCGTTGTCCCTTTGCTAAATCGAGCTTATTCTGTGCAGTCTGTCCCCCAAATATATTAAGCAAATATTAATCGACTACGAGGGTAATGGTGCAAACTATCATCGCCTCGGTGATCTCAGGGCTACTATCTTCCCGAGCCGCAAGGCGAGGGAAGATGGTAGCCACGAGATCACCGAGGCGATGATAGTTTGTATCCATTGCCCGAGTAAAGGAGGTTAATATTTGTTTTATATCCCACATCGGCGATAAGGTCTATTCAAAGTGAATTTTACATAATAATAAAAACTGATTCTGCAGACAGTTTAGCTTCAGCTAGATTTTACAAAGCGCAACATGCATACATGTAATACAGTCGATGCGCGCTCATTTGACATTGACATTGACTTTGACATTTTCGCGTAATCTAATTTGCTATGCGTATTCAATGGGCACGGGTGGGCAAGTGGGGTAGCAGCAAAAAATTACTTTACAATAAGTACTATCTCAGGTAGATAGTACTTATCTATACCTTTTTCGTGCTCTGTACAATCGCAATGCAAACAACTATACATGAGGGATATAAATATTGATAGACTTAATTGTGCTTATGCAAGATGTTCACCTGAAATAGTTCGGCACATAATTACTATACAAAAATGCAAAAATCGAAAAAAACTTTTATTTATTCATTTCATTTTTAGTGGCAAAGCGTCATTTGTATTAAACTATTTACCTAATGTGAGGTGGTTTTAGGTAATTTGATGTCTTTGAAGAACTAATTTTCTAAAAAAATTGTCTGTTTTTAAATACTAAATTTCCCTTTCCTCTTTGGCCTTGAGAGTATGTGTGTGTGTAATTGGGTTTTTACAGATGTGTATCAATCAGATATTGTTATTTACGTCTGGGGACCGACCTTTAACTTTACCATCCGAAAGACGTGACTCACCTTCGAACCGGGGTCGCCTGAGTCAGTTTGTAGGCGAAGACAGAGAGCTGGCCGAGTGAACGTGGTGCTAGACCAACTCATATTGCCCTCTCTAAAAAAAAAGACTGCCTTAGTCTTTTACATTACATTGTATATAATTATCGCCTTTACATCAGTGTTCTATATACGTATTTGTCAACACTTCTTAGTCACGACAGCCTATTTTTTAAATAATATTTTAAAGGTATAGACCAGTTTTGGAACCCTCCCCCCCCCCCCCCCTTAAAAAAAAGAAATGGAAGCTCGTATTGCCAATCATGACTTTGTCAAAGAATACTTTTCGACTATTACATGATGACATAAAATTTTGCCGGTAAACCGCCTATAATTGATAGGCCTACATTTAATTATCATATCCATCCGGCCTGTACAGATATCGCTAATGCACTTCAACATTGAACATTTAGGCATATATTTCTGCTGTTTTGTTATTGCGAATTTAGGTTGAAGTATTGCCATCTAAACCTTTTGAAGGCAATATTTAAACACTGTTGATTGGATATTTTGCACCCAAACCCTTGAACCGCAATTTTACCACTTCCGGTCTTAACCTTTAAGTATTTTAGAAATAACAGTATATCTTTTCAAAATGAACGAATTTTTGTTCACTTTTCCTCAAAATTTCATCAAACTGATTCCTTGATTTTTCTCTCACATCTCCACACATTACCACCCGCATATCTGACTTCTGAAGAAGAAGACGAGTTCACTGTGGTCACTTTCACTTTCCGGTACCCAGAGCCAGCCTAGTTCGAGTTAACGAAGATAAATTTATCCTTATTTAGCTGTTAATTGAAGATAAATTTATCCTCATTTAGCTGTTAAATGAAGATAAATTTATCCTCATTTAGCTGTTGAATGAGGATAAATTTATCTTCATTTAACAGCTAAATGAGGATAAATTTGTCTTCATTTAACAGCTTAATGAGGATAAATTTATCTTCATTTAACAGCTAAATGAGGATAAATTTATCTTCATTTAAATGAAGATAAATTTATCTTCGTTAACACAGCTAAATGAGGATAAATTTATCTTCATTTAACAGCTAAATGAGGATAAATTTATCTTCATTTAACAGCTAAATGAGGATAAATTTATCTTCATTTAACAGCTAAATGAAGATAAATTTATCTTCGTTAACACAGCTAAATGAGGATAAATTTATCTTCATTTAACAGCTAAATGAGGATAAATTTATCTTCATTTAACAGCTAAATGAGGATAAATTTATCTTCATTTAACAGCTAAATGAAGATAAATTTATCTTCATTTAACAGTTAAATGAGGATAAATTTATCTTCATTTAACAGCTAGATGAAGATAAATTTATCTTCATTTAACATGAGGATAAATTTATCTTCATTTAACGGCTAAATGAGGATAAATTTATCTTCATTAAACTGTGTTAACGAAGTTACCGGACAGCGAAAGCGACCACGTCGTCTTCTTGTTCTTCGTCGTAGCCAAAGGCGAAACTAACTCTGGCAGGTTCCGAAGTCAATGACATCGAATTCAAAACGCGTTATAAAAGAAAAACGTAACAGATTGTGGACAACATGCATGCAACCGCGAGAGACGACGTCGAATCGAAGAGTGATTTGAATTTGGCGCGTGTGCTTGTGTTGTTGTTGTTCTTGCCCACACTTTGTATACTGTGTAGGCGGCCAGATCAGTACAGAGCTCTGTGTTTACAAACAATGGACACTGGCCGCGCGCGGCTATTGTTCTCCCTGTGGATTAAGGTTGTAGCTAGTCTGCAGACACAGACCCTTGACAGCCATTATGTCTAAATTTCAAACATGAGAGTACTGAGTTATGTCATGTAACTGCTTCTAACACAGTAAAATACTGGAAAAGAAACATAACACATTAAGCAGAATCTGATTCTCCTGATTATTTCATGTGGTTTTATTCAAGAGTGAAGTTGAGTCTGTGTTTACAGACTAGGTTTGAGATGGTGAATGGATAGAACTGATAATCCCCGTGCGACTGGCTAACGACGGTCTGGGGAGAATATGGGTGTATCATCTCCCTGGTGTATCTGTACATGGAGGTAAATGGGTGTATCGTAATCGTAAAATGCAGACCTTTTAACAATTTATCAGGGTGGTTACTTAATTTGCAAAAATTCACCTTTCAGAAAGAAAACGTGCATTTTTGCTAAAAATAGAAGACAAGTCACAGGATGGGGCTGCATTGGGCTAATATAGGCCTATATAAAGTATAATGTTTAATAATATCAGGGAACGGGAACCAGCTGTGTGCCCGGCCGCAAAATGTATGAGCAATAATCTTAAAAAATGCAAATACATGTATGTCGGAGGGAAAGTTGAAAACAAACGATATTAATTCAGAGTTCAGAATGGGCCTTTGGACAGCGAACGGTCTGGATATGTAATTTCTTTCTTGTTCAAAATCTTATTCGATGTTTTGTGGAGTTCATCGACATGAGACACTTTCTTTAGTTACAAACCCAAGCATTATAATTATGATCGATGCCCCAAAGGAAGTGCAACTAAATCGGTCGGACAACCATGCCTATATATTTTAATGGAAAGTATAAACCAACTGCAAATATAATGTACGAACATGTAAAGACATCATCATCTAACCGAAGATAGGCCTATAGAATGCATTTGATATCGAACTTCACATGATTGTTGGTAAATAATAAAGTAGGCCTATATCATTCATAGTAATTTTGTTTAAACACCCGTTTGGTTTCATTCTAAATCTATATAGGCCCATAATTATTATGGGCCATTAGTTTGCATTTGATGAGCATGCCATAGCACGTATACCGAGACACACGACTTTGCATGAGATTCCTTGCAAAATCTAATGATGGGTATAGGCCAATATAGTTTTCAAGTTTACTGTTCATACAGGATATGCCATTTTGATGCTAAATTACTACACATGTTAAACAAATAATTATAAAAACGCCAAAATGGCCCTATGATAATAATAGGTACAGGTTTGGGGTTTGGCGGCGTCAGCGGCCCCCGCCCGCCCCCGCCGTAGGCCTATAATACACATTTCATTCGCCCAAGAAAGATTGACACATTTTCTATGAGCATTTTTCGTCGGGGCAGGGGGCGGGGGGGGGGGGGAGCACGGCGGGCTGGTCAATGTCCGGCCCCTGGATCCGCCAAACTTCTTCATGTTTCCCCTAGTCCATGTGATCGCCGCCCCCGCACCGCGCCCGTGGTTGACCTTTTTGTGAATTTATAGTCATCTCTGCTTCAGTGTGGGTTTATAATTAATAGTTTCAGAGTTAAAGAGCTAAAGAGAGAGAGAGAGAGAGTTAAAGATAATTAGGCCTAGCTTAATTAACAGTAATTCTCCAGCTATCAGGGTGTGTACATCCACTGACTCGACAGTGGCGGATCCGTGGAAAAACGTGGAAAAACACATTAATTTTACCTTTTTGGGAGATGCTCCGCCCCTGGCGCTCAAGGTGGGGGGGGGTGCAAATTTTCAAATTTTAGAGGCCCCCCCCCCCCAACAAAATTGTGCTCACTACCCCCCCCCCCCCCCCCCCCCCCCCAATGAGTGAGGGTGTAGTCCAAGGATTGGCTATATTATAAATTATATAGAGGACGAATATTCCGCTGGGCATAGTTTACTTGCAACCCCCCCCCCCCCCCCCCCCTATCCAATACCAGCTCCCAAGCAGGAACTTTTGTATTGGGATTTACAACACTTTCCGATTACCAGCAATAACTTTATTCCAAGAGATCCTCGGATCGCTATATGATTTATTGCTCACCTTTATACAATCATTGCATGCCCAAGTAGGAGTCGTCGGGCTGAGTTGTTCCTATTAGTCCGAGTTAGCCCGAATTATTATTTCCATTTACAGAACCACTCCCCTCCCCTGCGGCCCCCGATTATTATTATTATTATCATTGTTATTATTATCATAAACGTTAGTAGGGGTCTAGTATAGCGGTGGCGTCCGGGGGGGGGATACGTTCCCCCTCAATTTTCTTTTAGAGGGGGG